TTTCCCGCCCAGTGGAAATTAGAAATGACGGCGCCTATATTTATATATATGGACCATTCAATGCCAAATCGCAAAATTTTTTCCTTCATGTCCTAGATTTTGAATTTCACTGATTAGTAGGGTCTGGGCCAGTATACAGAAAGCCGAAGAAAAAACCTGGGAAAGTGGATTTACCGCCGAGCTATGCCGACGCAATATTGCTAATTTTGCTAGTTGGTCAGTTGACCTGCCTACCTTTGCAGACTTGTAATTTAGCCTGTTCTCGACAGAATTTTATGGTTTTCATTAACTGAATTTTTCATATCTTTATCTTTTGAGTGCGTATTTATTATTTTAATTCTGTTAAAGAATCACATAAATACAGTAAAAATAAAATTAAAACAAGCATCAAAAAAAAAACAAAGTTTTAAATTTTTTAAAAAGACATATTTCGTGCATAATTTTTTGATCCACAATATATCAGAAATTGGAGGTGGTGATTTTTCCATGTTGAGAACCACGAGGCGAATTAGAATGTAAAACTAGAAAAAACCCACTATTTTTACAGTAATACCATGTATTTCACTCTGGCGAAGCCTTCCTGCGCCGCTTCTGAAAGCCGCAGAAACCTGCTATGAAAATCTGGTATACTTTCAACCTTGGAAGTTCGCTACAAAAATTGTATTTTACTTCGAGATATCAACAAATTATTAATCTGCAGGGTTGTAAAAGGTAATCTTTACTCCAGCGTTTTCTACTTTATGTATATTGTGGTTTTTGAGCTCTTAGAATGGTCTTCATCTTGCATTCGTTAAGTTTCATTTGCACAGACGAACAGAAATACGACTTGTTGTTCTTCCTTCAAAATTGTGTACTATGGTTTTCCAGATCAGGAAACCTAAGGTAAACTTTAATCCGGCAGTTAACCAAGTGAAACAGCAGGTTTTTAGACTTCCCCGTAACTCCAAAATGTATTCTGGTGTATAATTCTAACAGACCAAAGTACAGAAAGCAACAGACAAAGAATAGAAGCCAGTTCTTATGAGCAGAATAATAATTTGTCAATATTTTGAAGTAAAATATAGCTTTTGTAACGAATTTTCAACTTTTATGCTGAATTTTTCAAGCAGCTGTCTGCGGCTTTCAGAAGCGGCTTCAAAAGCTTTTGCCACTGTAAAATACATGGAATTAACTGTAAAAATTGTGGTTTTTTTTTAAGTTTTACACTCCATTCCGGCTTTTAGCTCCCGACACCAAAAAATCACCATCATCAAAATCTGATATGTTGTAGAGCAAAAAGTCCTGCGCAAAATATGTTTTTCAAAAAAATTTGAAGGCACTTTTTTTTTAAATATATTTTTTAAAGTTTTATTTTTACTTTATTTATGCGGCTTTTTAACGGAATTAAAATAATAAATGTGCATTTGAATGTTCAAATTATGGCAACCAAATTTAATGAACGAAAAACATTAAATTCTATTGGAAACAAGCTAAATTACAAGCCTGCAAAAGCAGGCTTGCCAAGTGGCAATTTGGCTAATTTTGCAACTTTGACAGGGTGTACCTTGGCGGGAAATTTACTTCCTCTGTTTTTTTTTTGGTTTCCGTATACCTGCTCAGGCTTCACTGATCAGCAAAATTTTAAAAAAATCTGAAATATATCTTGTTTTTACAACAGTCACAACTTTTTTCTTCCATATTTGTCTGTAATTTCCCTTTAGCGACATCGCTCGTCATATTGGATGGGATTAGAAGATGTTTTCTAAGTTAGAAGACACAACAAATCCAATTTGGGTCGAGCTAAATTAGGAGTCCAGGGATATAGCTATGCCGAACAACAACCTGGAAATTCCTTAAAGTTTTGAAAAGGCGGAAAACCTGCTTCCCAAGTTCCGTCTTCCGTTTTTTGAAACCAGATCCAGACTCCATTACAAACTAAAGTTCAAAAAAATTTTGAAATATCAGATAGAAAAAGTGTGCGAGGAGGCACAAAGCAGTATATATTTTTAAACTTTGGCAAATTCCATCTATTTAAAAATTGTGAAAACAAGGAGATTACCCCAAGAACTCAGTTGTTTTTTAAGTTTTTGAAACAGAGTTCCGTTTTTCTAGCTTTACTTTTTTTTTTAATAAGGAGTGAACATTATGCGAAAGTTCTGAATGGATAACAAAACTTTAGATTTTTGATTTTATTCCAAAAGAATCTATGGAATGTTTCCCTCTACAAAACGGAGTCATAAGCGAAAAATTACACTGAAGCGCGCTATTTTGTCGGTCTCCTATTCTCACTGACGCTTTGTCGTTACAAAATATTTCGCAACCGATCTTTTATAGCATAGCCATTATTGTCAAGATAGAGCAACTTGATTTCCCAGCAGCATGGGAGGACAGACTCTTTGCTTTATCGGAGTCCTCACAAATCCTCTGGCTTTACTCGATTGCCGCCTCTTGGTGAACATTAACGCACGTTATACAGAGAAACGTTTTGTAAGAAACACCTCTCCAAGAAAAAAATTTATTGTTTAGTTACCCACTTTCAAAGTAAAAACTTTTAAATTTTAACGCAGTTTACATATGGGAAATAGAATTTAAAACGACTGTAAATGCAGTATTATGCAACCTACGAGATGTAGCAATTTCTCCTTAGAAGTGCTACCAAAGCCCTTTTTTGGATTTTCAAATTCGAGAGACTCTGTAAATTCCGAGAAAAATCTGCAG